TTCAGTCTACTATGAATGTATTTTAGGCTATTAGTATTTATCCATCGATTTCATTTCTTTGTTTTAACTTTGCCTTCTTCAATAGTTCTTTTAATGTTCTTGATCTTCCTTGCAACTCGCCAGATTTTACTCTGCTAGTTAAGTTCACATTATTTTCAGAACATATTGTAGACACCGAAGTCGAAATAGACTCGCCATGTTGATTAAGTAAATTTTCAAATTTTTTATTTGAATATTCTTTATTGTCTATGCTACTATTTTCCATATTGTTTTCGTTTGTATCTTTAATCGAATCTGGATTATTAATTTCTTCTATTGTTAGTTGTGTATTGTTGTATTCCAGTGTCTTTCCAACATTTCCATTTAATGGAGAATCAGTTTTGAAGAAATGATGAAGATCCGAAAGTCCCACGTGTACGTCCCATTTTTCTTCATCGGATTCTAAATCAACATCATTGAGAATCGGTACAGTAGATACATCTGTCGGTAGATCAAACGTCAATGATTTGCTTATTGGTATTAATTCTGTTGATATTTTATCTGATTTATTCTCTATTAATTTTACTACTTGTAATGTGGATGCCTGTGGTGATTCTTTTCCAACATTTGACTGTCTTGTTAAATTACATTCTTCCGTGTCAGGTGATTGAACTAATAATAATTTTTCAGCCAATCCCGATGTTTCCGAAGATACTGATCCTTTGGTGGACACTGATTCTTTAGACGACTCACTTCTGCTTATAGATGTCGTTTCCAATGACGTTAAAGATGCTGAAGACTCGAGTTCTTCGGAAAATTCATTACTATTGGTACCACTATGAATACAAGACTTTGATGTATCTAAATCTATGTTTTCTGTCTCAGCAGAATTAAGTTCATCATTATTAAGGTCATCAGTATTAAGTTCACTGTCATGATTACTGGAATTTTCTCCACTGAGGTCATCTGAATCCAGTATCGAAGAATAACTCGATTCCTGTTGCTTTGTCATCAATATTTCTATCAATTCGCGTTTAATAGTACGTGGTTTCATGCATACGTAGTAACTGTCCATCTGAGATGTATTATTGCTGTCAGACTCAATTTTTAAGTTTTCATCATAAACGTTTCTTTCATTATTTTCGTTTTCCGGATGAGTGGAATCATTGTTAACTATGCTATCGTTTTCCTGTACAGACATGTTGGATGATGCTTCATTTATACTTTTCGATGAAATTGTTGAGGACTCAAAAATTTCCGCAGGTGAATCCTTTTCTATTAGACGGTTTAAAATATTTTTAGGTATAGCTATAGTTTTCCCTGTTGCATTTCTATGCGCGCGTTTCTGTATATTTCTTAATACAAGTGGAGAAGGATCCTCCATTTTATTGATATTTCCATTAGGCAACCAGCGTATGTCTTCGTCTCGTTCAGCAAAATGAACACTATTTTGAACTGCTTTCAAAAAATAAGTTTCTGCCAGCGATATTTTTTCTCGTTTTTCCGATATAGACTTATAAGTGTTTTCTGGAGTTTTCTGTTTTATTATATGACCTTCTTGTCCCACATTTTCCTCAGCGATAGACCAATCCATGTATTTAAACTCACGCTGTCCATTGCACATATCTGTATAACCGCCTGGGTTTATTGTGTTTAATTCCTCTTCAGGATCTTGTACATCGAAACGGTAAGCATATGTTTTGGGTATACTGCTATAATTTCTTAAAATATCATCTTGCTCGTTTGATAATTGGCAAATCTTTTTCTCTTTGGTAAATTGCAAAGGCGAGACGTCATCATATTCATTGTTATCAATATTATTACCAAGAGATTCATTATTTAATTCTGGTTTTTCCTTTTTACTTAATTGTGAGTCACAATTTAAAGATTGATTCACTATAACGTTATCGTTACATTCTTTAGAATTACTATTAGAAGATCTAGTACGCAGTTTGAGATTCATGATTTTTTCGTATAAACATTGTAGTTTATGTGACGATTTTGTTACACATTTTATTGGTTCTACCGCTTCGGAAGATTGAAATGTTTTAGATTTTTCAGATTTTTGCTTTCTATACGTTTGACATTTTAAATAGTAACGAAATGGAAAATTTTGCGTTTTCATACAAACCATTTTTCCATGCTCTGCTAGTTTTTGCTCCACTAGCCAATCATTGATGTGTATATCTTCATCTTCTAATGTGTCGGTTAATGTTACCATCATTGAATTATCCTAAATAAAAAAAAAGGTCAATATTAAGGAACATAGCTTGCAAAAACAGAAAAATCTATAAGTCGAAAATTCTAAAAGCAGTTTGTAGACTGCTTCGCAGGATCGCGGCACGAAGTGCAGAATCACGAAAAGCGAGCGGACGCTTCACGACACGTTCGTTGATTAAACGCGAACCGCGTATAGCAACGATTATGTGTAAATTACGAGCTCTGGGAAGCACGAGAGCAAGCCTTGTTTTGCTGATCCGAGGGAGAGAACAAAGTGAGACCGTCGGCCGTTCTCGGACAGCGAGGCGAATGTCTGAAGTCTGAATGCATTATCGGCTTGAAGAACCCGTAATAAAATAAGATCTGTAAATCCGAGAAAATGTAATTCCAAATAAAACTCTCATTCCACACGAATCACCAAAACTCGTTACAGTAATCTAAATAATAATTTAAAAGTAATAAGTGAGTTTTGTTTCGAATGTATTGAAAATTCTGATTTTACCATTTCATTAGTCGATGTTATTCTTGCAACCAAAGGTATGTCTGATGTTTTTATAGCAAAATGATGAGTAGCACTACGTGTCCATTTTATTCCTTTGTATGGCCTTGTATTAAATAAACCACAAGGAATAGCTTGTGCTGGTAGAACAGAAAATATTCTATGCAAATAATACACTTCAATTGGTTGATATGTTTTTAGTGTTCCATAATCGTAAAACATTACCTGTAATAAATAATTATTAGTCAGAATTTGTTGTCACATTGAATTCGCTCAACGTAATTTCTATTACTTTCATGAACCTACTGTAACTTGCAAATCCGGTTTTACCGCCTTTATTATACCTCTGTGCCATATTCCGTTATATATGCATGCACAATTTAAGCCTTTTTCTAATACAACAGGTGGTATAATATAATCTTCATGTTTAGCAACATAAAAATGACTACAAAAAAAATGAACATTTACTATTTGAACATACTCTACATTGTAAGACTTCATTTTAATTATACATACTTCAAATCATTCATAAATTTTTTAAATGCTTTTTGTTTTTTACGAAGCTGTATCCAAAAGAATGATGGAGTGAATACTTCTACAACAACAACTTCTATGTAAGGATTTTCAATTCTTACTAGGTCAGCAACATGTATATGACCTACACTTTCTCCAATAGTTACTATACCCTCTGGTATCAATTGATTACATGTATTAGGTGTCTGAAAGTTCACAAATATATTACATATTGTTAAAATTTATAAATACCAAAGTTTAGAGAAAAAGTTATGTACCAAAGTTGTTGGAAGAGCTTCATTTTCTTCATCTAATAGATAAATCTGATGTAATTCCGCAAGATTTATGGTTTTCTGTTTCTTCTTTGGATTAATCAAAGGTACTTGTTTTTTACTATAATAGAGCATGAAGTCTCCAACCTCATCAATTTGTACACAATGAAAGATTTCTGGCAAGTATGATGCAAATTCTCTAACGCTACTGAAACCAAGTTCAGTATAACTTAGGCTTACTTTATATTCTTCTAAATATTTTTCTGGAAGCTCAGCACACCAAATGCCATCAGGATTATTTTGAATAAGTTTCTCCAAACGAAATTTGATTCTACTATTTATAAGATCCTCAGTATGTTTATTTCCAAAATAAGTTTCTTTCTCTACTCTATCGTAATTATTATCTTCTGTATAGATTTCAACATTATCATTGTAATTATATGTATTATACGAATTACTTTCGTTGGTTTCTGCTCTTAGGGTAACATCATTGTATCCATCATTTATGGTGTTGCTTTTAGATTTATACTGTGTTGCATTCACAGATTCCTTTATAAAGTTAGATGTAGTTTTACTCTTTGCAGGTAATTTTTTAGAAGTAGATTCATTTGCAGGAGGCAAAAATTTTAAATCATCTTCTGCATAGTCTAGCAAATTATCTGAATCTTCTTCTCCACTTGCAATCATTATTGGCATTTTGGAACTAAAATTTTGTGATTTACTTTGAACTGGAAATATTTTATTATTTGATACAGAAATTTTATGCGATAACACAAGTAATTGTTCTTCCATCTCACTCATTGTTATGTTTGCATACGGCATAGAAATTTGTACTTTTTGAAGTATAAAATCCTTATTGATGCCATCTGGATGTTCATTAACGATATCAATTATCATGCTTAATATCTCAGATGGTATATGTATCTTAGGAGACAACGTTCTTGGATAATAATGACTTGGTTTATACGTTTTTCTTCCAATTGGTGCCTTTTGATCTTTTTGACCAGTCACTAGCTTGTCAACATGTTTGGACTTATTAGTTGCGATACCTTTTAAAAAAAGTGTATTTTGGCTGTACTCTATTTTAATTGATTTTGACATACTGTGTATAAAATCCATTAAGGAAACATATCCCAACTTTTTCCAAGGTATTTCTTCACCTTCCATGTCATAATAGTCCTTGCATAATTGAGGTAGTGTACACCCACCTTTTTGGGACAATAATAACGCTAATATCGTAGTTTGCGTACTCTCATGTTCCTGGGAAATCACTTGCATAATGGAATTTGTTTTTGTATGTTCCAACTTGAATTATGTCTTCCAACTAATCCACGTGATAGCTAAAGCACGCCCAGTTCAAATTTTAGCACGTAACTTTGACAAAAAATATATGAATTTTAATATTTGCTTTGACATTTAAATAATATAGTATCGTGTCGGACTCTAAAAGTTGAAACTTCAATGACGTACCGAAATCTGTTGTTAACAATCGCCAATTAACACTGACTCGCCCACAATATTACGCAATTTATATGAATTACGAACGTGCTCTGTATCACTTACACTCTTTCAACGACTGAAATAATATACAGAATTGGATTGTACTGGCATAAATATCATAATATCTACAAAAGCACCATGAGGGCAGGATTAGTGATGTCGTGTGCAAAGCAAACTAACCTTACTTTAAACCAACCATACCACAGACTTCTTGTAGAAGTTACTAACTAAGCAGAATTTGAATTTCATTATGTCCCTGCTTATTTGCCGCGCAAAGTATCGAACTACAATCTACGATGCGATATTAATTCGATATATGAAATTACTGGAAGTAAATATTTAAATTTAAATTTACTCTTTGAGCTGTGTCAAATAATTCATTAGAAAATCGATTATAAAAATTATACTTCTCAGTAAAGACAAAATTTGTGCAGAGATCGATATAAAGTACGTATTCTCGCACGAATGAATTTACGATATACATTCCAGTCCTTGATCGAATTATAATCTTATCAAGGTTATTGTGTATTTCGAATGTGCGAAATATTGAAAATTAATAATATGGCGTGATAAGTTAAAAAACTGAAATAACAATACTGCAGAACTAGTTACTTAGATCAAGTAAAAAGAGAATTACGTGCACAGGAAAGAAGAGGAATAATGATCGAATGGTTTTATATTCATCCTACTTTTTCAGATCATATTTGAACGCAAGCAATCGTGCTAATGGTCATGATATAGACATCGTCGAACTAAAAATACTATCTTCGTTGTCAAGTGAGATGGAAGCAAATGAGCCTTAAGGTCAGTTATCAAAGTATTTGCTCGATTTGTGTTTGATAACTATCAAGTATTAACTAACTAACTAATCATAATTATACATGAATTCTTATTATTTTAATTATTAATTGTAATGTATAATTAAATAATTTGTATATCAATGAAAAACAGTCTTTGTCAGCCAAATGTCAAGAAGCGGGTATGGAAGTGTGAGGGACAAAGAGAATGAAGGAGCGAGGGAGAAAGGCAGAGAGAGAGAGAGAGAGAGAGGGATGAGAGGGGTCCGAAGCGATAGGGAACACCCTTGATCCCAACACGAGAACAAACTTTGTGTGCCCGTATGCGCCTGTGGCAGTGTGCGCAGAGTACATTTCAAAGTGTATGTTATTCGACTCTGACGAAGTCGCGCGAACGGATCGGCAACGTTATAAGACGGTGAACCAGCACTCAGCAGTCCATCAGTCCATGGATGACAGTCGAGGGTCTTCCTCAATCCGTGACAGCGTGCGAAGCCTTACGATATCGTAAGATCGTGCAAAATCACTTTGTTCGCGTTGTGTGTTATTGAAAAAATCTTATTTAGTGTAGTATCCGCCCTCTATCGCCATAAAAGATGGCACCGTCATGCATTGAGGTGATCCTTGTTGGTTTCATTCTAGTCTTACCATTTCTCTACGAGATGAACAGAACCTTTCGTTACTATTTCAAGTTCCTCCTCTATTACGGATATGTGATGGTCAATTCGATCACGTTGCTCCCACTCATGGTGTTACGTCCACGGAACGTAAAGAACTTTGTGTTAGTAATTTACTAACAAATTTTATAAACGCTACTATCTTCGTTTGTTATTTTTCTGCCGTTGTGTGTTCGTATTCTTTATTTATTGACATTCTTGTTCCCTTGTTATTCTGCCTGGAAAGATAATGTAGCAGCGAGCAAATTTATTGAACGATGGTGATATGTATAGTGTCCAGCAGCAGTTCCGATACAGTGGTGCTGATGGTGGTGGTAACGGTAGTGGTGGCGGTGGCGGTGGTTGTTTGAATAGCTTTAACCATTTACCCTAAGAACTTTACGTAGGCGTTGTTCAAGTTATTAATCAAAACAAATTTGAGAAATATTCCTTTCGAAATGAAATTCTATTGATTTCGATGATAGTGATTTCACAAATGTGCGGATCTTGATTCTATTTATCAATCTTCGAAGGCGGGCAAGAGTTTTAAAGATACGATACCGATGTGATAATTAGAAGAAAAATGTTAACCTATTTATATTAACATTACAATTATTATAATTTTGTCGATTGATTGAATAGTAGATGCATATGTGCCGGCGATAGTGAATATTCTTCTTTTTCAAATTGGCGGTGTATTTCGCGCGACATTTCAATTTAACAGTGACACGTCTGTTCATTTTTATACAGAATCTGCTTCGTCTTATGATTTAAACCGTATTTTTAACTGTACACCGTTACCAAGTACACTTAATTATGTAGTCAAGAAAAATGAAAATTCCCTAAATTTAGAAATAATCTATCATTCTTCAATAAATTTGTTGTTTATACAAATAGTGTACTTTTTATCGTATCAACGAATTACATGCTATTTTTTTAAAAAGTTTATATGCAATTTATTTTTAGATTAGCATCGTCTGTATGTTCCTGTCTTACTAATTTCTTGGGAGTACGTTGGGAACTCAGAGGAAGAGAGCATTTAGAACAAGATAGAGCATGTATAATAGTATCAAATCATCAGAGTTCTTTGGATATAATGGGACTGTTTCAAATATGGCCAGTAATGGTGAAATGTACAGTTATAGCAAAAAAGGAGCTTTTTTATGCATGGCCATTCGGTTTAGCTGCTTGGCTTTGTGGCTTGATATTTATAGATAGAATGAACTCTGAGAAAGCCCGTATGGTCATGAATACTGCCACAAGCCACATCAAAGATAACAAGGTAATTTAGTGGAAAAAGTGTATTGCAAAAATGAACAGAAAACCTCAAACGATATTCATATGTATTTCCATGCATCATCTGCATAGATTAAGTTATGGATTTTCCCTGAAGGCACCAGGTATAATACTGGTGAAATTCATCCTTTTAAGAAGGGTGCTTTTCACGTTGCCATTTCTTCTCAGTTACCTATATTGCCAGTTGTGTTTTCATCTTATTACTTTTTATCCTCGAAAGAGAAAAGGTTCGACTCAGGTAAGTCACAAATTTATATGTATTAAATACAAATATTAAAATAAAATTTTACTTATCTTTCAAAGGTCGAGTTATTATAACGACGTTACCACCGATATCTACAGAAGGTTTAAGTACAGACCATATTGAGCATTTAATTCAGAAAACGCAAAGCGCTATGACGGATGTTTTTCAAACAACAAGTCGTGAAGTGCAACTTTCCAATACTTCTTACAATGAAGCTGTGGCATCTTAGAATGAAACTATCATTCCATGGCAATTTGAGTAACAGTGCTATCATTTGAAACTCAATGGTAACTGAGTCTCATCTTGGAAACCAAAGACTATTTTTCTATGCTCTAAGTTCTCTTAAAAGATTACAATTTTGCTTTTATATTGTTATCAAGTATTCATTGCATATTGAAAATATATGCAAGGATTACTTGGGTGAACTTTGTATAGCAATTGCTTCCCTATTCTCATACTCATAACTGGTTTATATTTTTACTCCATTTATATACATATATACATGCGTGTTCCATAACTAGTTTATATTTTTATTCCATTTATAAATGAGTTTCCAAAACTGGTTTCATTTAAGTTACATTTTTCTTGATTGTTAGTTTAATTCTTTAAATTTTACTAGATCGAAATACGATAACGGCATGTAAATCGCAATGAAGCTTATTTATACGAATTATGCGAATTTTATACACATACAAATATAATGTTATAATTTTTTCTTTCAAGT